CGGGTCTCTTTTAATTAAGTCACCTGGCGCTTGGGGCAGTACCGGGGCTCATGACTCCCCCCCCCCTCTCGATAGTATTGCTCCGTTGTTTTTATTACATCTACGTGGAGGTTATAAATAGAGTCTCGCGCGCACTCTCCCTTTCTCCACCCCCCCCCCTTTCCGGAACATTTTGGAAAGAACACGTCCATCGCTTCGGGTGTTGGGGAATGCGCTCCGCGGGACTGCAGCACACTCTGCAGGAACCCTTTTCAGGAACCCTTTACAGATGCCATTTGCAGATGCCATTTGCAGATGCCCTTTGCAGATGCCCTTTGCAGATGCCCTTTGCAGATGCCCTTTGCAGATGCCCTTTGCAGGAACCCCTATGCAAGAACCCCTATGCAAGAACCCCTATGCAAGACCCCTCTGCAAGACCCCTCTCCAAGCCCCCTCTGCAGAACGCTCTCCAGTACAGCTCGTCCCATCGCGACATGCTCCGGCATTCATTATCGGGCTGGAGCCGCCGCCTACAGCCCGAGCCTGATAGTGGGAGTGATGTGGATATTATTAGCGCCAGCTAAATTTAGTTCGACTCCTGACGACGGTGACAAGAGTCGCAACGCCCCGGGTCTATATCGGGCGCACCCATTAAAGTGAGTCGCTCCCCTCACTCAATTTCTCTCTATCCCCCCCCCTCCCTCCCTCCCTTTCTCACCCTTGCCCTCGCCGTGATAGACCCGCTGCACGAGGTCCGCGTGTCCAGTCCCCTCCGACTACCCCGGGGCGAGGAGGGCGCCTAGATTCGGCGGAGAGTAGCCCGAAAGGAGCCTGGGGGGAGGGCAGGGGGTAAGAGAGGCCACGGAATTCCGTACCCCCAAGGCGGAAATGCCTACATGCTTTTTGCCTAAACCGTGCTGAGCTCACTCCGACCCCATCTCTCTCTCCAGACCCTTTAAGCATTCCTCTCTCTCTCTCTTAACCCTCCCCGCTCTCTTCTCCGGGGCCTCGGCCTTGTCCACCAGAGCCAATCCTGGACCGGCGGGGTCGTGCAGGCGGGCTTGTTTGCATGGACGTCCGCGTTGCCAGCGCCAGCAGGAGCGCGGGCACCCTCGCCCCCCATCTTCTGCACGTGCCTTCCTCTCCCCCCCCCCCA